ACAGAATCGGCGAAGGTAAACTGAGGCTCCCGGGACTAGCAGCCAGGACTTGGGGGGCTCTCTGAGCACCTTCCGCCCTGGGGTCGGGTATGGACGGTTGCTCGCTCCCAGTCATAGGGTCCGTACAGCCGAGACAGGGGGCTCGCTGGGCCGGGGTCCTGCTCGCTGGAGAGGCCCTGGGCTCGCGCCCGGACAAAACCTGTCACAGGGACGTACCAGAGGGGTAGCGACGTTCGGCTGTATCCACAAAACGAGCGAGGAATCCTGGGGCATCTTTGATGCCCAAATACATCTGCTGGTCTTTAAGGTGCAACAGGACTCCTGCTTGTTTTTGCCAGCTGTGGTCGTGTTTTCTTCTAACGTGAGGGTCTGTTCCCTGGGAAACCCTGAATGATTTCCCCCGGGGAAACGGAACACCCAGCAGTGTGTTCTGGTCTCTGCTCCCCTGGGTTATAATCTAACCAGCTACCTATCCCTTCTGCCATTTGTGCCTCTTGTTTGCACACAATCAGGTTTTTTTCAAAAAGCAAACTCCAGACTTGACGGCAGTATAATTAGACAGTGTTCCCTCTAATCTCTTCCATCCGTGTGTGGATCTTTTCTAGCCACGTGAGGAATAATTTTATGTGCACCAAGGCATGTATGCATGTGCACCACCAGTAGAAACAAAACCCTAACTGTGGGTGCTCTGCTAACCAGCTGGGCAGCATTTAAATCTCTCCTGAGTGGCCGTACAAGAGCTCAGCTTGCAGGGAACACTGGTCTTAGGGACTTTAGAAAATGTTACTTCTGAGCTGAGCTCATCAGGCCCATGAAAACAGAGCTCTGTGTCACATTCTGTGTGACTTTCTCTGTGTCACAATAGTACCACTGCCTCTCAGCTAAGCAGGCGCGGGCCCAGACCTTCAGCCAGCGTGGACTGGCATAAGTCCCTGAATCTGGCGCTCACAGAGTAGAAGCATCCCTAAGGAGAAGGGGAGCATGATTTTTTAGCTACTGGAAGGTGGTTTCCAGCGGCTCCTAATGCATCCAAATACATCCCCACACATTTACATTTTTCGACTGTTTTCAAAGTCATTCTCTGCCAGCTGGAGCAGGCTGGCACCCTGGGGTGGATAGAATCTCAGACAGACTCCACCTGCCTGCTCATAGGTGCTCGGTGCAAGCGTGTGGCAGTGTGGGCTTGCTCATATCTTATGGGCACCGGCATCACCTGCGCATTTTTCACAAAGCGTGTCACTCAAGACTCCGCTGGGCAGGGTCAGAACAGCAGCACGGCGTCTCCTTTTCACGGCGCTTTATTTATTTTCTGGAGCCAGGAACATCGGTCCAACTTCTCAGGAGGCCGGCTTGGCAGAAGGTCTAGTCAGATGGAGTGCTGGACAGATGGCTTATGGGTAACCCCTTGGGCCGTGCTCACTGACGGGCGAAAGCAGCCTGGGGAATCTCCAGCCTGGGTTGGTTTTGTGGATGACAGAAGCGAGTGGCATAGAAGCAGGGAGGATTGGAGCCTGCCTGCAATTTGTACCCCAATGAGACTTACTCCTCACAGACTGCTCTGTTACGAGTTACCTGCCTGGACACCTCAGACCAGTGTTTCCCAAATGGTGCTCTGCAGAACCCTGGGGGTCTGCAAAGCAAAAGAGTAAGGGTTTCGTGAGAACTCGGAAATCCCCCCCTCCACCCTTAAAGAGACAGCTCTCCTTTTTTTTTTTTTTTTGCTCAGAAATCCCCCCTCCACCCTTAAAGAGACAGCTCTCCTTTTTTTTTTTTTTTTGCTCAACCAATTTTCCTGTCCAGAGTTCCTCTTGTGTGCTCCCCACAGAAGCCTCCCCAGTGCTGAGTGTTCACCAAAGGGCCAGAGTCCCTAGTACCAAGCCGTCTGACAGGGCTTAGCGTGTCCTAGCTGAACTGCCGTATGGCCTGGAAACGGTGATGCTCGTCATACTAGGAACTGAGGGACTCCTGAAAGGAAGGGAAATAAGTGATGGTTTTTCTGTCTGCTGATTGGAGGACTAGCAGGATATATAGTTATTCCCAGAAGACTTACCCATCGTTGCTTGGGTCCTTCAGGGCAGGGAGCTGAGTGTGTGGGGATTGCAGGAGTCAGGGAAGGGACTTGGGGATGTGGGGGGCTCCGAGCAGGAAGTTGGGGTTTGGGAGGGTGCAGGGAAGTTGGAGGGGGGAGGGGGCTGAAATTATAACCCAGGCCTTCCTGATCATACAAAAGTTAAAACGATCTCCGTAATCACCATGTGAACTCATGGAATTCATTACGTAATGACATTCAATATCGAATGAGGTCAGAAACGAGCAAGGTGGCTTCTGACCTCATTCATTATTATTTGTACTGCCGTAGTGCATAAGCAGCGTGCTCCTGGGGTGATCTTGGATCAAGGCCTTATTGCAGGGGTGGGGAACCTCAGGCCCGGGGGGCGGATGTGGCTCCCGGCTTGCCTGGATCTGGGCCCCAAGGCTCAGGGATCTCACATGACATAGGGGAGGCCGTGCTCAGGATCCAGTCCCCCTGCTACCCACCCGCAGGGCTGGAACACAGAAAATCTACTAGCTTGGGCCCCCGTAGGCTCTGGGGTGTGAGGAGGGTCTTTCTGCTTTTCAGTCGGGGGCTTCTCACTTGTGTGCGGCCCCTGACTGATTTTTCTGTGAGTCAGCGGCCCCAGATCCCCAAAAAAGATTCCCAACCTTTGCCGTATTGGATTAGACTCTGCACAAGCACAGTACAAAAAGATCCCTGCCCCAGAAAACATACCTTCTTGGTACGCTTGTGGAAGACGCTTTAAAAACAACGAATGGTCCTGCGGCACCTTACAGTCTAAGAAAAATGTAGATGGTGCCATGGGCTTTTGTGAGCAAAACCCACTTCTTCAGATGAATGGAGCAAGGGGTCCAGAGTTCCAAATAAATAGCAAAAAAAGGAGGGATGGGAGGGAAAGAAAAGAGAAAAAATGGTCATTTAGAGGGGATGGAGCGGGGAAGGGAATGGAAAAAAATTGTCACAGTGTCAGTGCTAAAGGAAACTAATTGAGTGGGATGTAAATGCCCGATACGTGTAACGTCATTAGGAAAATGGTTGATCTGTCCTACGGACAAAAATTCTGCTTGGAAGTAGTATGGGAATATTCCTAGGTGGCACGTAATCTTTGCCTTTAGCAAAGCGGTATGCATATTGCTTAGATCTTTCACCATTTCCCCCTTGGCTTTATTTTAACTACCCCGGTCTTCTTTGGGACAGCTTGAGCTCAGGTTGGAGCAATCTGTAGTGTTTTCATTTGTAGTTCTTTTTGCACAAGTCACAACACTATCTAAGGAGGCTGTAGTTTGCCTTCCTTTGTGCAACACCGAGTGGTACATTCTGCTGATGGTAAAGTTGATTTAATGTTCCGTGGGCCTCTTATTCCTACGGTGGTTGAACACAGTACATAGAAAAGGTAATGTAATGTTCTTCCTCGGCTGAAAAAAAAAGCACAAAATGACCTTTCCTCCATGAAAGTGAATGGAAATGAATAGCATGTGTGTGTCTTGAATGCAACAGTCCCTTTGTACCTCTATCATTGACCAGATCTCTTCCCGGGCTAAATTGGCAGTGGAAGTCTGAGTCTAGTTCTATGCTCATAGAGAATGTCGAATGAAGATACACAACTCCAGCTACGTTAACTGAGTAGCTGGAGTTGATGTGTCTTGTTTCACGTTTTCCTGCTGTCCCCACAGGGGGGGGGGGCTGATGGGAGCTCCCATTGGCTTGCTTTACTCCTCACACAAGCAGGAGTACCAGCAGCGGACAGGGGCACCTTCTGAGTTCAATTTAGTGAGCCTTAACTAGACTCACTAAATCAAACTCCAGAAAATTGATCATAGCAGCAGTGATCTTCCGTTTAGTGTAGAAATGAGAAAAGGCCTCATCCTCTGATCTTCAACATTTCAGCCCTGGTTTACACCAGTGTTTCTCAACCACTTGTATGAGTATCCTTAGGGATACTTGGGAGAAGTCTGGAGAGGTCTGTCAACACAACTGAAGTTTGGAGAAAACTGAATTTTTGTTTTAATGTTTACAGTGCTTTATTATTTTTGTAGTTTTTACACCTAAAAATGTCATCACCCACCCGGCTACGATTATGTTGCTTAAACGAATGTGTTGCAATGGTAGAAAAAAAATAGTGTGTCTGAAAATAGTAGGTCCTGGGGGTACTTATAATTTTTTTAAAGGGGTACTTTATTAAAAAAAGGTTGAGAAATACCGGTCTACACTATAGTTAAGTTGACAGACGTCAACTAACTCTGTAAGCATCTAAACTAAAAGGTAAATCCCACCTATGTAACTCAGGATATGTCTACACTACCACCCTAGTTCGAACTAGGGTGGTAGTGTAGACATACCCTCACCCACTACACTGACTAACTCTACCTCCCTGAGAGACATTCTGGCATCGCTCAAGGGAGGAGGCGGAAGCCTGAAAAAAGTTTTGGAGGAAGAAAGCGGCAGGAAGAAGCTGGACATGGGTGGAGTGGCGGCACAGCAGAGGGGGGCTTGGCGGAAGGGGCAGAGTAGGGGTGGGGCAGGAATGGAGCTGGGGCAGGAGGAGGTACGATGGAACAGAGTGGAGTAGGCTGGCACCAGCTTGCTCTATGCTTCCGGCATGGAGCCCCCCAAAGAATGAGACCTGGAGTGGTTGTCCCAGTCTGTCCTATGGACAAGACGGCTCTGACTGAACCTGTTTTGGGCACCATTAAAATTATATAAACTTGCTTCTCATGTTCCTCTTCCTTCTTAGGAGTTCTACCCAAAGCTGGAGAACTTGGAAGATACTCTGCTAAGTGCAATGTACTGTAACTGAAGTTACACATGCCCGTGTCTACACAGAGCATAGTGGGTGGCCTGAAAAGGTCTCCTACTCATGGGCACTCCAGAGAGCCCCATGTGATGTGATAGTCAGGAGAGCCAAGTTAATTTTTAATAAAACATGCAGCTTTTCATCTTTCAGATCGTGGGTTTCAATAGAGGCTGGCACCGTTTTCCTGGAAAGTTATTTATCCTCCGATGATTTTTCCGTGGCCCATCTGAAATGAAGTGAGAAGTCCCAGCCCTGTGTCTAGACAACATGTTCCTACCACAGGCCCTCCACAACCACTGGCAGCCAGTGAACTTGGACAATGAACTATTCTCTGACTGCTAGAGGCCACCCTCCAGTCAGGGCTGGAGTATCTTTGCAGAGCGTTGGTAACGAAGCTTTCTCGGCTGTTGCCCTCACTGTATGCCGTCCGTGAGTAAATAGATGACTCCAGTCCCCAAGACTGTCAATGTGGCATCCTCCGCCAGTATGATACACATTCCCTTAATTAAAAAAAAATGGGGAGGAGGTGGAATAAGTCATTCCATTTTCCAAGTATTGGTGATCGCTCCAAAGAAGACACATCAAGATTACAGCCCTGTGATGCGATCCGAACTCAACAGACCCTAAGGCCAGGGCTTGACAAGCGGTGGTGAACCCCGCTCGCCAGCCGCGTGGTTTGGCATGCTGCGCATGTGCTGATCATGCTGCGGTGCCGTGCCGGGCTAAAATCTACTAAGGCCATGTCCATGCTACAGAGAAGATCAAAGCTGCTGCCGTCGATCTTCTGGGGTTTGAATGAGCAGGTCTAGTGAAGACCCGCCAACTCAAACGGAGAGGTGCCCCAGGACTCCTCATTGCTTTTGTGGGAACAGGCTGACACGGCCACCCCCCCTGAGACTTGTCACCACAGCAGCAGCTGCGTGCTCTGCTCCTGCCGTCCGCTACCGCCTCAAGGCGCTGCAGGCGCTGCGGCGAGAACGTGCTGAAGACCTGCAGTGCCGTGTTCCATAGCGCATGCAGTGTGCAGTCGGGTGCGGTGGGCAGCAGGAGCTTGGTATGCAGCTGCTGGCGCATGGGGCCACCGCCATGACGCCCCCATAGGCAGAAGCTGGCCGCCGCATCATGTCAGCTTTGGAGGGCAGAGTTGGATTGAACATCAGAACAGCATCACTGGGTCAGACCAAAGGTCCATCGAGTCCAGGATTCTGGTTTCTGACAGTGGCCAATGCCAGATGCCCCAGAGGGAGTGAACAGAACAGGGAATCATCCGCTGTCACCCATTCCCAGCTTCTGACAAACAGAGACTAGGGACACCATCCTTGCCCATTCTGGCTAAGAGCCGTTGATGGACCCAGCCATCATTCATTTATCTAGCTCCATTTTGAACCCTGTTATAGTCTTGGCCTTCACAGCATCCTCTGGCGGGGAGTTCCACAGGTAGACTGTGTGTTATGTGACAAAATGCTTCCTTTTGTTTGTTTTAAACCTGCTGCCTATTCATTTCATTGGCTTTCCCCTATTCAGCAAAGGAAAAGCAGCTCAGCCCTCTCGGGCATGGGTTTGATTTGGACTCAGCAAACCACTAGTCCAACTCAATTCTGAACCCAACCAACACTTTGTGCTATTCTTTCCTCTTGGACAAACTGTCACCAGAGAAGAGCATGTTGCTAGCTAGAGAACACCAAGCAGGAAGGCTGACGGTATGGGAGTTTTCTAAAACTGACCAGAGGCGAACCTCCAGGCAGTACTAACTACTGTTCCTTTGAGGGTGAGACGCCAATCACTTCATTAAAGAGAAGGTGTCACATGCTCGTTTCCTAAATCCTGCTAAATGCCTGCTTAGCCGCATTATTGACGGGCTTTCCCCATGCACACTGAGCTGTTAAGCTGCTCCTGTTCCCAGAAAGAGGTGAAAGGATTTATCAAAGCACCCAATGAAAGCCATACTAACTGGATTAGCTGTTAACATGGATTTAGGCTGTGAGTCGGATTAACCCCAGTGGCTCAAAGTAGTGGTTCCTCTTTTCTCTTCTTTTTCCGGTGTCTGTGTGTCGAGCTGATCAGGATGATGGAGGGAGATTGTGCTTGGCTGGGAACGGGCCGGTGCCATGGTCTCCCAATGCGGGAAATGGGCTGCTCTCTGGTGTGATGTATCCCATTACAATATGATCCTTCATTTCTTTATAGGGCTCTGTAAGGGTACGTCTACGGTTGCACCCTCTTGTGATAGAAGGATGCAAATGAAGACGTTCGAAATTGCAAATGAAGCTGGGATTTAAATATCCCATCTTTCATTTGCATAATCGTGTTATGGTGCTATTTTGAAATAGCGCTATTTCAAAATAACAGACCCTGTTAAGACGTGGTTATTTCGAGAAAAAGCCCTTCTCTCAAAATAACTGGCAAACCTCATCGTATGAGGAATAAGGGTTATTTCGAGAGAAGGGTTTTCTCTCGAAATAACTGCGTCTTAACAGCGTCTGTTATTTCGAAATAGTGCCATAACGTGATTATGCAAATGAAGCACGGGATATTTAAATCCCAGCTTCATTGGAAATTTCGAATGTCTTCATTTGCATCCCTCTATCGAAAGAGGGTGCAAGTGTAGACATACCCTAAGTCGCTGTGTCTAGACTGGCCAGTTTTTCTGGAAAATCAGCCGCTTTTCTGGAAAAACTTGCCAGCTGTCTACACTGGCCGCATGAATTTTCGCAAAAGCACTGACTTCCTACTGTAAGACATCAGTGTTTCTTGCGGAAATTCTATTTTGCTCCTGTTCAGGCAAAAGTCCCTTTTGCGCAAAGTTTTTGCGCAAAAGGGCCAGTGTAGACAGCTCAGATTTGTTTTCCACAAAACGCTCTGTTCCGAAAATGCTTTTAACGGAAAACTTTTCCGTTAAAAGCATTTCCGGAAAATCATGCCAATCTAGACGCATCCAGTGTGCGTGCAAAGAGCTGAGCAATAAAGGGCGGGGGTGTGGCCTATCGGATCACATATTGAATTGAGAGAACTCGAGAAAGACGGGCTGTCATCCAGGTTCTCCTGCTGGGTGGCTTTGGGCCAATGACTTTGCCTCCCTGGGCCTCAGTTTCCACATCTATAAAAGAGGGACAACCGTGCGTTCCTATGTAAAGCACTTATACAGCTGTTTTCATCAGTAGATCTCAGGGCGAGGCAGGATTATGATTTATTAAAAAAAGAGGCCAAGCCAATAACATAGTCTCTGCCCCAAGGCCTTAGAATGTAGAGGAACAAACAGGATGAACTGTGGTCATAGCCATACCCGGAAGCTTGAAGATAAAGTAACCAACGCAGAGAGAAGGAGAAGGCAAAGATGCCTGTGCTTTTGATGGCATGAGTAACCACAGAGAGAGAGAGACAAATTCTGCCACCCACATTTCTGGGGTGAGCCCCACTGAGTAAGGCTGGCAAGATCGGGTCAGTTATTCCACACATTCATAGAGGGGGAACGTACTGCGGCAAACGTTCTGCAATCTACACACAAGAATATAAAGGGTAGGTAGGAGGTGGCAAATGCACTGTTATGCAACCACTGTCAATTGATCACCAGTCCAGTAGAAATAGCTAAGGAAGCTACCCAAATGCTCTCCAAACAATGTTGTGCCAGCAGGCTGCTTTCTCAGTTTCTCTAGGGGACTGTCCAAGAGCTGCTAGCAATGTCCCCTCTAATGTTTTCCATCCATGGGCAGAATAAATTTTGTTATGTGCACTGAGGCATGTGCAAATGTGCACCACCAATAGAAACATACGCTACTAGCTGTGGGCATTTGTGGGTGCTCGGCCAATCAGCTGGGTGGCACCTGAATTTCTCCTGGGTGGCTGTTTAAGCGCTCAGTTTACAGGGAACACTGGCCACTAGTAGCTAGGGCCCTTTGCCTTGGTATCCACATAAGTTTCCAGGTCTTTCTAGATGTCTCCTGAAGCATTCAGGGCAGACATACTCACCTGATCCTTTCTCATCTCCCTGGAACACTGAACAGCTCCTCTCGACCTATTAGATCCCATGATCTTTTTAATCACATCTCTTACTCCCCCCCGCAGCTGACTCTCCGCCAGTCTAATCCCTTATTATCGTAATCCCTGCTCCTGTTCTGTCTTTCCCCCACACCTGTCTCCTCCCCTGCTCCTCCTGTCACTTCCATCTGCCAGCCTGCCAGTCTGCCCATAGGAGTTAGCCGCTCTTCTCTGCTGTTTCTTCCCTCCCCTTGTTCTGTGTCACCCATCCCCCAGCTTCCCTGGGTTTGCCTGAGCCATTCCCAATTCACTCCCGAAAGTTTTCTCTCAGGTCTCTCCATTATGACTCTTCTCTCATCCCCCAGGGAAACTGCAGATACCGCAGTGAGATAATAGCTGGCAAATAGGGACTTTTTTAAGGCAACCACTTGATCTGTCTGACACACCTCACACCGCCGCTTTTAGGCACCGGTTCCCTTTAAGAAGCCTGCCCAACAGAGTCTGATATGAAAACACGGCTCCTGCCTTAGCTTCGGTTCTCTGTCACCAGCCAACGGCTTAAAGCACAACGGTGTCTCTCGTAACCCCTGAAAACCGACCCCCCCCCCATGCAGAATTATGCAAAGCGAACGCGCCTCTCTGGGTGCAACAAGCCCCAGGTTAGAAACGCACTCGGGCACCGTCAGGGTTTCCGCTTTGTCGTGTGGACCTCGGAAATATTATTTACAAAATTCCGTCTGGTCTGGCGCTTGGCATTTTACAGCACGGTGCTGTCAGATCCCTTTTATATCACATGTTAAAAATAACATCTCCCCGCCCCGAGGTCTGCAGCGAGATCAGCAAAGGCAGGAGAGGGAGAGGGAGAAAAAATTTGATCTGAAAAACAAAAGGGCCGGAGCGGTAGCTCTGGTGGACAAGGCAAGGTCACCTTGTGTGCTGAGGCTGGAGGGCTCGAAAGGGTTGTGGGTAGACGATGGTTCGGACCTGTTGCCGTAGCTGCGGGGTGTTCAACCTTCATCACTCTTGCAGCCGTTTCTGGGCCCAGTTCTCAGTAATTGAGGGATAGTGATAAGATGGGCAGCGGGTTCGGCTATCTTTAGGCTTTCACATATTCTGATGCTGCTCAGAGCCCTGATTAGTCCTTGGTGTGTGGTAGAGCAACCCTGGGGCTGCTCTCGCTTGCACTCTGCGCCTTAGTTCCCCTGGGGCCGGGGGAAGCGGAGACCAGTTTTAGTGCAATGCACTGTGCCACGGCCCCTCACATGCCCCCCCCTACACAAAGCGCCAGGTCTAGGACTGGAGAAGAGCCCCTCCCTCAGCTCCACAGCAGCTGTGGAGGCCTCTGAACAGGCGCTATTCGAAGGGCATGGGTTGGGGATGAAGGTGGGGGTGGGAGAGGCAA